TTCAGAAAATTTCATGAAAAGTTTAAGGGTGCTCAAGTTCTTCAGCGCCTTTAACGGTTCTTTTTATGCAAAATCCTTAGGGTGCTTGAACCACTTCGATGCTGGCCATTGTGGACGAATGGGTTGACGCCGGGAGAAAGGAAGACTTCTTTCAAATTGTATCGCAGAAGTATTTATATGTGGCAGGTGCAAATCCCACTGGAACATGTCTGTTCCTCGCACTCCAGCAAGCACTGGTATTGGTCGGTGATGCTGAAGGTGTAAAAGATGCACACCTCCAAAACTTCCTCGAGCGCTCTGAGGAACTTCTCCAGGACCTGTCCCGTGGGTTACCTTGGCGGATTTTTCGGGCGTTTATTTCTCAAGTACATTTTAATGGTTCTAGACTATCATTGGTGGATATTGATGATAACAAGCACCGAACGGGGCATCGTGGAATTGCGGCCTTAGAGAGACTGAACCTGGAGGATGGCTTCTATTTGGTTGCTGCGAGTAACACCATGGCTGTTGGACACGCATTTGCCCTTCAAGTTGCGGCGGCTAGGATGACAGTCTATGACGACAACATTAAGCGCTCACTCAGGTCCTACGGCGAATGGATTGATAGATTGATGTTTGTCCGTAAGGTAGTCCTTCAGAATTAAATAAATATAAGTTCGTATTTTATGTTAACTTGTACAAATCCGATAATACATTTTCTTGTCATTCACACATTTTACATGGTTATTTATTGTTTGTCTATAAAAATACAAGGTCGTATTTTACTTTTACAATATTGATAATAAATTGCTTCTTTGGCTTTTCACTCATTTTCACATTGGTATTTCTTGCTTATTCGGTAGCTGTGTACCAGGGAATCCTCAGTGAAGATAAAACCTATAGGATGCAGTGGGTAAATCTATTGTAGGGGAAACCCCACACTGTCCTGTGAGTCATTGATATTGTGAAATGAATATATATTCGACCGTGTTTATTGATCTATCTATTTGCTAATTCACTAAATGATTGCATTCCTAGTTGTCTTCTTAAATTCCGGAACTGATGCTTGTCAAGTGACTTAGTAAAGATGTCTGCTACCATTGACTTAGTGTTGCAGTAAGCGACGCTGAATTCGTGTCGTTCTACCTTTTCCTGAACAAAATTGTAACGGATGTCAATATGCTTTGATTGTCCGTGTAGTTCTGGGTTACAAGCGATTTTAATGCAGCTTTGATTGTCCTCTTTGATAACATTGGCTTTGGTTGTCAAGAAACCTAGCTCTCTGAGTAGCGGTTTGAGGAAGATGACCTCTTGCATACAATGGCATAAGGTAATGTACTCGGCCTCTGTAGTCGAGAGCACGACATATGGTGCTTCCTCGAAAGCCATGAGATGGGACTTGTCCCGATCATCGTGACGTATCCAACTGACCTTCTAGTGTCAGGACAATTAGCATAGTCAGAGTCTGTGTAGGCTGCCAAATGATCAGCTAGGGTACTAGCATCAACTGACGTTGATCCACCAAGCAACAGACATTGGTCAATCGTGCCAGATAGATATTTTAGGCCTCTTACCACTGCTTTCCAGTGTTTCTTTCCAGGGTTTACTAGGAATTGGCTGACTTCGCGCATGTA